TGTTCCTCCCACGCAGTTCCAGAGAGCTAAGAAAATGCTTATCTCCCTGAGCTTGGCCTTCATAGTTCCATTCCATCACAGGTTCCTAATTCCAGGGATCTGAAACTGGAAGACACTGCCTTGTATTCCTGCACAAGAGACACACAGTGAAGAAGTCCTTCTCTGAGATGTACTAAAATTATCCTTCCTGAAATAATCTATCCATCCTACTCACAATTTTGCACGTCACAGCTGGTAAACAAATCATTTTTCAATTAGTGCAGTTCCTTAGTTACTGGAATATCACATCATTCTTTTCCAGGCGGATGGAGATAAGTGTGCCCAAGATTAAATTTGAGCAAATCCACCAAAGTTTTATTTCATTTGTGAATGAGGGCTATGTGATTTCAAGATATATGATTATCTCATGCCATAGAATTGCAATGATACCTGCAGAAGACTTCCTCTTCTCCCCAACATGGGCAGAAATCCATAAAAGGAAGGATTCTATTTGCTATTCTAACTGATAAAACTTTCTATGAATATTTTCTGGGATTAATGTATGGACTGATGAGGTATCTGAGTTAGTAGAAACAACACAGGTAGCCCTACATACTTCTCAGTGTCTCCATTCATGTTCTCCAAGTCCTCCAAGTCTTCCCTTACCTGAACATTCAGCCATTGCCCCATTTTTAGCACTTAGAGGCAATGTTGGCTATGCCTAAATGGATATACAAGTGTTACTTCATTAAATTGTTTATGTCCATTGGTGTTCATTTTATAAGGCAATAGCACATTCATACCATGGAGAATTCTAAGACCAATGTTCTAAATAGGTTTGTGTATACTGACTGTTACAATAAAAATGATGTTTATTATTTTATCAATATTCCTTAGAGAGGGAAGATAAGGCTTTTCTAGAGCTTGGATCAGAGCAGATGGAATACCAAGGGCTCTAGTGCAAGTTGGAAAGTTAAAACCAATTCTGGAAGACAATCTCAGCAAACCACTTCTCTATCAGTGCAAAGAAAACAACATGGTCTTGTCTGTGGGCTCACCCTGAACTGAATTCAATTGGAAGGGATTTCATATGAACCACAGCTCAAGTCAGGAACTTGATCTGATCCCCAGCTGTACTGATTTCCCATTGAAGGGAATGCCAGAGTGATAACTGTATGAAACATGCGGTGTGGATATGCACCATTCCTGGTAAAAGCTCAAGGCATTCTTCTACTCCATGTTTGAATTTGAGGATGTTACTTGCTTATATTTGTACCATCTGTGACTTCATGCAAATGCTCCTGGTGTGGCTTTTTATTAAAGGCTGTGATTGAGAACATAGTTCAGCTCAGTTTCAGGTGATGAGAGTGACTTTCATACCTTCACCATGGAGCTACACATCTTGATATATCTCTTGATGATCTTACCTGCATGTAAGGAAAAAAGATACACATTTTTGCAAGAAAAGAGAAGTTTTTTCTCCACATTTCCTCATACCCATTCTTCTTTTTGTCTCCTTCTATACTCTTGATTGCAGATATTGCATTACAGATTACATTAACAGAGTCTGGTGGTGGCCTGAAGAAACCAGGAGAGACTCTACAACTGACTTGTAGAGTCTCTGGATTTTCCATCACAAGCAATGGAGTGCTCTGGAACCGTCAGGCCCCTGGAAAGGGACTGGAATGGAATGGTGCTATCTGGGCTACTGGAAGCACTGCCTATAACAGTGCGCTCCAGAATCGGATCAGCATCACACGGGATACATCCAAAAACCAAGTGTTCTTTCAACTAAATGATTTAAAGCCCGAGGACGCCGGCATTTATTACTGTGCAAGAGACACAGTGAAGAAATGCTTTGCTTGACCTATACAGAAACTTCTCTTCCTCAAAATGAGGCATTTGGAGTTTGTATATGGGAGCTGGACACAATCTATTTATCATGCTCTTTTAACTGTAAACATCTAATACCCAACACCATACAATGTTCCTCTGTGTGCTCTTCACAGTCAAACATATTTTCTGTTTCTGTTTCTTGTTGTGCTGTAGATGCTCAAAACCAATCTGGGCTCATGCCTCAAAACATTTTTTGTGTGCCCATGTATGAAAAGATGCTGTTGCTCCATGGTTACCAGGAATTAAACATCAACATTTAGAGAAGATACCACAATGCAAGATAAAATATAAATTGGCAGCTAAATTTGTCACAGAAATCAAATGTGTATGAAATCTAGGCATGTGGGAGCCATCACAAGGATATAGGACCAAAAGTGTAAAATGAGACTTACTTAGGGAACGGAGAAATCTTTCAGTTGGCAGATCATGGCATGTCTCCTAGTTTGTTAATATTATTGTTTCTTCCCAAGTATACATGATTAAAACAAATGTATAAGTGTGTGTGTGTGTGTGTGTGTGTGTGTGTGTGTGTGTAATGTGAGATGAGTTGGGCTGAGAGAGAGGGACTGGCTCAAAGTCACCTAGCCAGCTTTCATGTCTAAGGTGGGACTAGAACTCACAATCTCCTAGTTTCTAGCCTGGTGATATACCCACTAGACCAAACTGGCTCTTTTTGTTTTGTTTGCATTTTAAGAGGAATAGCTCTGCCCTCAAAATATTGATTAAAATGTGTATTTCAATAAGTTGTAGTATTTGGAGTTTTGCAAAGACCATTGGAAGACCTGAAGGTCCAATTTAAGGACAAATCATTGTGAAGAAAATCTATAGACGTAGATTTTTGTGCCAACTTAATGGCACATAATCAATCAATTAATTAATCAATCAAATGGAGTGCTAAAACTTGCATAGGATGAGAATTGAAAATCAGATTGTTTCTCTTGGAATATGGAGGATGAACTTACTCAGCAAAACTACTTTAAAGCATTGCATTCAGTTGCTGTATATCAGGATGAATCTTTGTCTCTTCTCAATGTTGGTCTCTGATTTACACCTCTAAATACAAACACATAGACACCTTTCACACATCACACTAAGCCATGATTGTGTTAAACAAGTTTCGTTGAATCGTTCACCACTGAATCAAAAGGAGTCTGTCTAGTTCTTTCAAACTTTGTCAAAAGGCATAAGGTTTTGTAAGGTACAACTCACTTTGTCAGGTACCAAGAATGGCTGAACTGATATGAGCTGAAAAGTTCTGCCTTTTAATAAAATGTATTAGTTGGAGAAGGTGTTATCGGACTCTTTATAATTTTCTTCCACCAGAGACTAACATGGTTCTACTCCTACAATCCCCACTAGAGGTGATCATGTGCAATGGTGCAGCCACATAGTTTTCAGGTCCAATTATCTAATGGAATGTTCCACCTCCTTATGATAGGAGGCAGTGAGAACTTAAGTCTCTTAAAAGGGAAAACATATGCAAACCAGTTCATCATAAATTAATGTCTCCCTCTGCTGCAGCTTTATTCACAGTTGACCTCTTGCTTGCTCTAGAGAAAGATCTCCAAAGAGATAATAACAGAGAAGAAAAGGGATCATGAATTGGCTTCACCTAATTTTCATTCAAACAACTTTGAAAGGTGTGCTCTTGCCAATGTCCTCTTTTTCTTTTATAGCACAGCTCATTCTCCAGATTATCTGTAGATATCAGAAAAACAGTTAATTATGGTAGCATTTTCATTAATAGCATTAATTAGGATAGCATTTTTCTTAGAATGATTTATTTCCATCATCTCATGGCCTTCTCACCTTCTTCCAGGTGCTCTTTCTCAGATTTCTCTCACCCAGTCAAATCCAGTAATCAAGAATCAAGGAGAATCACTCCAGCTCAAATGCACCATAACTGGTTTTGCTATTAATAACCATTATATGGATTGGGTGATGCAGAGGCCTGGGAACCCATTGGAGTGGCTGGTACACTATAGGATACCGAGGTACAGTGCTTATTCTCCCACAATACATGGAAGATTTACAGCCTCCAAAGACAGCTCCAACTTCTACCTACAAATGAATAACCTGAAAGTGGAGGACACAGCTGTATATTATTGCACTAGTGAAATACCCAGTGATGGAAAGGATTCATGGCAAGCGAAAAAACCCTTTCTCCTTGCTCTGGGGCACTCATGTGTCATGATATACAGCTGTTTGACATGATTATATATTATTAGAAACCATTGTTCCTAAAGAAAATAGAAAGAGGAATCTCCCTGTCCCTGATGAAGTTTAGTTTCATGCATGAAAATTTCAAGATCTGAACTGTCACCTGTTTCCATAGCCATCTGCTTATCTCACAAATCATCCACATTCCTCTAAAGACCACCCAAAACAGATGTTAGGCAATGGCCAATCACATTCACTTATGTGAGCCTATACTTAGGTTTCAACTACTTGTTGTTGTTCAGTCATTAAGTCGTGTCCGACTCTTCGTGACCCCATGAACCATATTGCGCCAGGCCTTCCTGTCCTTCACTGCCTCCCTGAGTTTGCTCAGTTTCATGCTCATTGCTTCAGTGATGCTATCTAACCATCTCATCCTCTGCCGTCCTCTTCTCCTTTTGCCTTCAATCTTTCCCAGCATCAGGGTCTTTTCCAAAGACTCCTCTCTTCGCATTAGGTGACCAAAGTATCTGAGCTTGAGCTTCATTATCAGTCCTTCCAATGAGCAATCAGGGTTGATTTCCTTTAAGATTGACTGGTTTGACCTCCTAGCAGTCCAGGGGACTCTTAAGAGTCTTCTCCAGCACCACAGTTCAAAGGCATCAATTCTTCGGCGCTCAGCCTTCTTTATGGTCCAGCTCTCACAGCCATACATTACTACTGGATTCAACTACTGGGACATGATAATTAAAACAAAATGGAACAATGCATTGGTAACAACTGTATGTTTCATTGGAGATCTATGTAAAATAAATCAAAGAGGTAGGAAGTAAGCTTATCACAAAATGCTTACAGTATAAGTTATGTTGAACACTTTGCAACCCTTCATGGATAAGCCAATTGCATAAATCCAAACATACAAAAATTATGAGGGTGGGCTTATCCATGGGTGGCACATTTTTTCATGGTATTTTGGTTAAAAACCTGAGGGTCAGCTAATCCATGGATGGGCTTATCCATTAGTATATATGGTACTAAACAGTCTTGACCCCGCTTAGCTTCTAAGTCCAGATAAGATTGTCACTATATTAAAATTGGTTAATAGGACTTCTGCACTTTTGTGGAACTGTAAGTCTGACCTCATCAGGTGTGGCAAAGAAGCTAAGAGCAAATACTGTAAAAACTAAATAAGGCCATCAAATGCTTTGCAAGTGGTAAGAAGAAAACATGATTGGTCTGAATGCCGTAGATGTAAATTTACAAATTCATACTGATAGCGGACAATTAGCTGCTTCATTTGGCTTCATTCCATTCCATAATCGAGATTCTTATCTAGCCAATGTCATTTTTCACCAGCTACTCCTACAGCTGGCAGAGAATCTCCAGGAGAAATGGTCCGTACCAAATCTCCACTAACTTTAGATGGTACCAACCAGGTACAGAGATGAGATTTGGAGTCTCGGTCCTCAGCAGTGGGCATCTGGTCTTGATGCTGTTTGGTTTCCATTCTTAAGTAATGGGCACTTAGAGTAACATGCAAATGGTTTTGTGGCATAGCTTCTTTAAAGGGGAAGATAAGCTTGCACCTAGAAAATCAAAGATTATAGTGACCATTAGGTTCCTCTGAGCTAGAGATCAGATTTTCTTCTTATTTCTTTTTGTCAGTATTATCATTATGGAATAGACCCTCTTGGCATGTTTCATGCTGGCATTCCCTGCATGTAAGGAAAAAAAAAAAAATACTTATCTTCTCTATCTTTATGTACGCATTCCAAAAATTCACTCTGCATCCTCATCTTCTCCTTCTTGACCTTCTGATTCGTATTCTTCGGTCACAGGCAGTTCATCCAGTCCTACCATTACTGAATCTGGTGATATCAAGAGGCCTGGAGAGTCCATACAACTGATTAGTGCAGTGTCTGGATTTTCTATAACAGACACCTACGTGGACTGGATCCGTCAATGTCCAGGAGAGGGACGGGAACGGGTTGGACATGCCACAAAGAGCGGAAGCATATACTACAACAGTATTTTCCGAAATCGGCTAACGGTCACAAGAGATACCTCCAAAAATGTTTTACTCCAATGAATGGTCTGAAATTGGAAGACACTGCCTTATATTCCTGCACAAGAGACACACAGTGAAGAAGTCCTTTTCTGAGATGTACTAAAATTATCCTTCCTGAAATAATCTATCCATCCTACTAACAATTTTGCACGTCACAGCTGGTAAATGAATCATTTTTCAGTTAGTGCAGTTCCTTAGTTACTGGAATATCACATCATTCTTTTCCAGCCGGATGGAGATAAGTGTGCCCAAGATTAAATTTAAGCAAATCCACCAAAGTTTTCTTTCATTTGTGAATGAGGGCTATGTGATTACCTTGTAAATCCTTCTGTCTTCCTTTCTTAAAATGATGGTTGTTTAGCAAAGAGTAAAATTTGGGGAAAATTAATTCAGTTACTTGCTATTGACAGGGATACCACTTGATCCTACTTGCTTCTGATCATTAATTACAGTAATCTAACTACATTTTTGCTTTCAGATGGGGATTCACAAATCACTCGCACTCAGTTGGGTTTAGAAGAGAAAAGGCCAGGAGAATCCACAAGGCTCACCTGTTCTGTGTCAGGATTTGACCTAAACAGCTATAGCGTGCATTGGGTCTGGCAGTTTCCAAAAAAAAAAAAAAAGTCTGGAATGGATGACTTACTATTATATAGCAACTATCAACAACTATTCTCCAGTCATCCAAGGGAGATTCTCTGTCTCCAAAAGCAGCTCTGAATTCTGTCTGCAAATGAACAATCTAAAGGAAGAAGACACAGCTGTCTATTACTGCACTAGAGTTACACAGTGTTGAGACGCTTACCTTCTCTCATGTAAAAACTCCTTTCTTACCTTAGCCTGGGACAGATGTTCCTGGAGGTGGCATTCGCGTTCCACCATGCTGTTATTGAGAAAAATGTTCAGAATCCCAAAATAGGAGAAACCACAAACAGAGGACAAAAATAGAGAAGGAAACATGTTTACCACATGGAGCAGCTGTTTAGGAATAGCATCCTCAGGGCTGAAAGACATTTAAATATCATTGATTCATTCAATATATTTAGATGTATGAGACTCTACTTTCCTAATTTAGCATTATACTTTTGAGGATAGAATAAGAGGACTCCTAGAAAGGATTGGGACTATTTCTGATGTAGGAAAATGGCTGCAATCCATTATCTAAGTGACAATGCCTATGTGAATTACAAGTTGAAGGACTTTGAGATGTTCTATATAAAATATAAAAGATATTTGGCATGAGAGAAGAGTCTTTCAAACTGGGTTGCCCTCTACAAAATAAGGGCTGAATTGAAGTTGTACTGAATACAGTTGTCAAGAGATTGTTGCCTGAGCACTAACCGTGCTCTCTCAAGACCAAGTAAGGTCAAGTAATGAGCTGATAAGCCTCAATGTTTTAAAGCAAGATCAATACTTGCCTACCCGGATAACACAAAGTTATATCCAGAGGTCAGAGAAGCAAGGGAGCTGACTATGAATTCTAATCTGAGACAAAATTTCAGGTAGAAACACCAGAGAGGTGTTTCTACAGAAATGGGATCCACTCTTAGTAGAGAATTAAGTAGAAGAAACTCCCAACAGTCTCATATTCTCTGTCTGAACCTATAATGTTAACACCACCAAAGATAAACTGCCTCAGCAGGTATCAACATCTGGCTGAGCACAGCTGTTCCATAACTAAGATGGATCGTGTCTGGTTAGTACATGGATAAGAGAATACCAGGGAATAGAAGTCAGGTAGATTAAGATAATGGTTTTCACCTGGCCTGGCCTGGTGCTCCAAATTCAAAAAGTTGCTGGGTTTTTGCATCTCCTTTCAGTAGCTGGAGGAGTGGGGTGGGAAGACTTTTCTTTTACAAAGGGAAAGCTTACAAACAAAATAAAAAAATGATTTGTAAATTAGAAATGCCTTCAGCTATTTTCTCTAAAGTCCAATTTCACAATATTCTCAAATCTTTCTATTCTGTATCTCTAATATAGCTGTTTATGGATGACTTTTATCTTTCTGTGGTCTTAATCCCTGTAGATCTCTATAGCCCCTCTTTATAAAGCTAAACATCTGTTTCCACAGAGTTCAATCTGTCTTTTATTTTTTTTAGTTTCTGCTTTCTATTTCTATTCTGTCAAAGTCTTTCGTTTTTGTCTTTTCTGCTTGTTTGGTCCTTTTCTGCTTGTTTGGGCTTCTTGACTTTTCTCCTCTTGGCTCCATCTGAGGGAACTGGCTTGAAGAAGTTTTACCTCACGCTGGTTTTGAGGGAAGGAAAAAAAATGCCTCTTTCTCCCCAGTTTTCTCAGCTGCTGCCTCCTTTCTGGTTGTCTCTCTTCATCCTGGCCATCTATCTTTCAGTTTGCCTCTTTACTTTAGGAACACAGAAACACCTCTTCCTCAAAATAAGCATTCATCATTTAAAAATTTGGGTGTGGCACCTGGCCAAAATCAAAGTAGGGCAAAAATCATTTGGGATCATTGCCAAGAAAGCCAGTGAAGGTGTTTGTGAAATCTGCAGAAGCTAAGCCTGATCCAAAGGAAATTAACTTTATGCCCACTATGTTGTGTTCCCATTCATTGAATACCGTAAACTCCAAGCCCATCCATGGAAATTGCATGTCCTCCAAAGATAACACCAATTCTATCTGCCCATGAAACCCTGAAGGAGAAGATACAACTGTTTCTATTCTATTCTGTTTCAGATATACAATTCTGGGAAGTGAGCATCCACTCATGTGAAAGAAGAATACTTCCTTTGAGTACACTGGAGAAAGATGTTCCTCAAGGTGGCACTCAGGTTCCATAATAGTGTCATGTGCCAGGACGACTCATGAAACCACAAAGAGAGGAATCCAGTACCGGAAGACAAGAATAGAGAAGTTGTATTTCAAGAGAGGTCCCTTGAAAGTTCTCTCTTTCATATGAAAGACACTCTATTGAAACTCTAGAATGATAACTGTGGTTTCTGCATGCCAATAAAATATACCGTGTTACCTCTGTCTATGCTCATTTGGTTCCTAATTGAAATGGGTATTTTCCCAAAGCAACATACTGATTCCTTGCAAGGACAAGATATATGATTATCTCATTCCATAGAACTGCAGTGATACCTGCTGAAGACTTCCTCTTCTCCCCAACATGGGCAGAAATCCATAAAAGGAAGGATTCTATTTGCTATTCTAACTGATAAAACTTTCTATGAATATTTTCTGGGATTAATGTATGGATTGATGAGGTATCTGAGAAAAAAAGAGTAAGTAGAAACAACACAGGTAGCCCTACATTCTTCTCAGTGTCTCCATTCATGTTCTCCAAGTCCTCCAAAAATGCATCTGCCTGAACATTGAGCCACTGCCACATCTTTGGCTGTTAAGACAGGCAATGTTGGCCATGCCTCAATGGATATATAAATGTTATTTCATTAAATTGTTTATGTTCAGTGGTGCTCAGTTTATAAGGCAATAGCGCCTTCATATAATCTAAAATGCTAAGACGAATCTTCCAAATAGATCTGTTGATACTGACAAAGTGTTACGAGAAAAATGAATAAACAAAGTGTTATTCTATCAATATTCCTTAGGAAGGGAAAGGGCTTTCCTAGAACCTGGATGACAGAAGATGGAATTTCCTGGGCTCTAGTGCAGGTTGGAATGTCAAAACCAATTCTGGAAGACAACTTCAGCAAACTCGGCAAATTTAGCACCACTTCTGCATTAGTGCAAAGAAAGCAATACAGTCTTGTCTCAGAATCACCCTGAACTGAATTCAGCTTGAAGGGATTTCACTTGAACTGCAGCTCAAGTCAGGGGCTTGACCTGATCCCCAGCTATACTGATTTCCCACTGAAAGCAATGCCAGAGTGATAACTGATGAATAATGAATTTCATCTCTGCTGTAAACCAGCCCAAGTCATTTCAATGAGATGGATGGTGACAAATTTGATAAGTAAAGTAAAAATGAAATTAAAATAAATACATTATATGGTAGATACAGTTTGGATAGGAATCATTCCTGAGATGAGATCAACTCATCCTTTCTACTCAGTTCTTGAATTTGACGATGTTACTTGCTTATATTTCTATCAAGACTGACTTCACGGAAATGACCCTGTTGTGGCTTTTTGTTAGGCAGGGATCGAGGATATAGTTCAGCACAGTTTCAGGTGATGAGATTGACTTCCCTACCTCCACCATGGAGCTAAGCATCTTGATATATTTCTTAATGATCTTTCCTACACGTAAGGGAAAAATAATTATCCCCTTTTTGTAAGGCAACAAGTGGTTTTTCTCCACATTTCTTCACACTCATTTCTCTTTTTGTCCCCTTCTATACTCTTGATTGCAGATACTTCATCGCAGATTATGCTTACAGAGTCTGGTGGTGGCCTGAAGAAGACAGGAGACACTCTACAACTGACTTGCCCAGCCTCTGGATTTTCCATATCAAGAAATGCAGTACACTGGCTCCTTCAGGCCCCTGGAAAGGGGCTGGAATGGAACGGTGTTATCTGGGGTAGCGGAAACACCAACTATAACAGTGCTGTCCAGCATCACATGGGATACATACAAAAACCAGGTGTTCCTCCAACTGAATGATGTAAAGCCTGAGAACACGGGCACTTACTGTGCAAGACACACACTGAAGAAATGTTTTGTTCGAGCAACACAGAAACTTCCCTTCCTCAAAATGAGGCATTTGGGAGTTTGAGTGTGGGAGCTCGCCACAATCTCTTTATCTTGCTATTTTAATTGTGAACGTCTATTAGCAAGCACCATACAAAGTTCCTTTGCATACCTCAGGTAGCAATGAAATGGAAAGTTATAAATTCTTACGCTATTTTGTAGCGAATCTCTTCCAGCAAGGGAGGAAACAAATAGCTGTGTACATTTTTTAAGACAATAAGTAGTTTCCTGTTTTGTTTTGTTTCAATGTGGCAGCTGAATTTAAAGGATTATTATCTTGACCCAGGAACTGGAAATCCCATGTCTAGATTGAAATGTCAAAACCAATTCTCAAAGACAATCTCAACAAACCACTTCTGCATCATTGCAAAGAAACAATATAATCTTGTCTCACAATTCACCCTGAACTGATTTCAACTTGGAGGGATTTCACTTGATCCCCAGCTATACTGATTTCCCATGGAAGAGATTACCAATGGGATAATAGTATGCTAGATG